AATAATTAATATTAATAGTTCTTAAACTGTATCAAAATATAGAAATGGTATAGGTAAAACTAATAAATTATAATTCATGACCCATAATTTATGTCTTGATTTTACATAAATTGCAAAATAATTATCATAATATTGTTAATCTTTTATGAAAAACATTTAATTAATTAAATTATTATCTTTAATTAGTTTTTATTTGTGTAGTGTAAATCCTTAACAGTTTAGAAAATTAAAAATTGTTTTTTGTTGAATGGTAAATCTACAACTATTGAATAGATATCTATATCAAAATGTTACTCGATAAAATAATCACGTTTAACTAAGTATATAGCATTATATTATATGTATTGAACATTTGTACCTCTGTGTATTATGTACCTTAATTTTTATTCAAATTATAAATCAATAAATTAGTCTCTGCTAAATAATCTTTTTGCTAACWACAAATATGAGAAATTATAGTTTTTTTTCTAAATTTATATTTGAAAACATTAATATACGATTTTATGCTATAAAACGATTTAAAAAAAAAATTGATAGGCTAACGACGGTATAATACTAATAATTAATATCATCAACAAATTACATTTATTCTGGAATATAAATTAAGTATCCAAAACAATAATTTAATAACGTGTATATAAATCTCAAAATCAACTTTGTGGCACATGTCCCGGTATTGATTATAAGTCTTCAATTAATAATCAATTTATGATTATTCTGTTTTTTTTTTATCCATACATAATTACTGTAAAATTACCTATGTGATTTTTGTTTACAAAATAATAATACTCATATATCGGTAAAACTCAATCAATGTACTTAGGTGTATAATTTACTTAAATGCATCATATTTGGATATATTATATTTATTATATATATTATATTATAATTATATATATTCGCAACTGGAATTATACCGCATAACCTGCACCTGTATAAAGCCCCTCACAACCCTGCTTTAAGTCTCTGTGGCGCTCAGCTCTCAAATATATCAACACGATACACGGTATACATGATGGGTAAATATATACCATGTATGTATAATGATAGATAATAATATATAAAGTGGTAAAATACTCACCGATGGAGTGCTGAGAATCTGAGTCCATGTGTCCTACCATGGGTACTTCATCCGTATTGGCTTTGTGCAGCACCTGGTACAGGAAATCAATGTACCGCGTGGCCAACTTTAAAGTTTGGATCTTCGATAGTTTGTCAGAAGGAAGTGTTGGTATGATTTTCCGGAGAGAMGCAAACGCTTCGTTTAGACTCTGTGTCCGCTGCCGTTCCCGTACATTGGCCATCACCCGTTGGCTTTGCATCTCTTCTGGCGTCTGTGGTGATCGTCTCCTTGATTTCAACGGCGTTTGGATTTCTTTCGATCTTGACGACCGTTTCTTTCCTGTGTTATGAA